GACGCTGTGGGTTTCAGGGTGAAGATCTTCTCTCACTACTCTAGTAGTGAAAAGCCTAACTTTATGTGAATCCACACTAGAATATAAACACAAAACCCCTTTTATAGGACATACTGTTAGTGATCACTAGTACTACTGTGCCTCCATTAACACACCGAGAACAGATGGTAATACCCCCTGATGCATGTGTTTGTGTGTATGTACACACTCTGCCACCCCATGTAAGGACATGGATATTGCTATGGTTCATTACATTCCCTGAAAGCTGGCACATGGATTTTAGCTATCTAATCAAACAAGATTTGTGATTGTGTGCAAAACAATGTGCATGTGGTGGTGTATGTATACACGATAAAGAAGATCTTTATAAAATCTTCATAAAGTGCTCACACACTTATTACATTTTATAAACCTAGGTGGAGATATGGTAGACATTGTCCATAAGCTTCCTGATACTTTTCTCTCACAACTGAAAAAGAGCTAACACCATGGTTATAGATTTTCCTTAAAAAAAAAACAAAAACTGGATGGACTCTGCAGTTACATCCTCAGCATTACAAAAATATAATCATTACTATGCTTAAATGTAATCTTCAAGAGCCTTAAATGTCTTTCCATTTATTTTTTTTCCACAATTTTAGATCCAGGTATCTACTGAAGGGAGGGAATCATCACTTGGAAACAATATCTTCAGGATCAGAAATGAAAACATGGAAAAGTCATCGAGTACCCATTTTCTAGTAAACTTATTAAACATGACCAAAAGTCTCTTCCAATTTAAAAAAATTACCCTTTCAGCTGACTTCAATGATGTAGTAAATGAAAGGCTAATGACATACCACCTTTAGAGAGCCACGTAATTGGCGTGTTGTCCTTTTCTTTGTCTTTCTGTTGATTCTTCTGGGTTAGGATAAATGCAATCATTGTTAGAGTCTTTCCTAAACCCATATCATCCGCTGGGGAGAAAAACAGGAGACATAATAACTCAAGGGGGAAAAAAAGCAAAACAAAACAAAAAAGCCAACCCAATTCCATTTTAAGAGGCAAAACCAGGTCTATTTCTTTTTTTTCCCCCCATTCATTCATTGTTGCACTTTTCTCCCCTCCTAACCCTCCCCCCTAGTACACTACCCTCTTGGAAAAGTAAAAGAAAAATTTCTTTTTTAATAAACCCTCCCCCAGGTCCACTCCACCATGTAGCTAGCCTTGGCTCTAGACTCCTGAGAAAGAGCAATTTCCTTCCACCTTCACCCCAGCTCCTGGGACGGGGTGGAGTCTTGCAGAAAGACCAGCCCACTCCTTCTGGACTGAGGAACACCCACCTGAGCCCCGCCTCCCTCCTCTTTATAACTCTATTTCCTTTCACAGATGAGAGCAACTCACACTCCTTCCACAGCTTCAGGAGAATGGTGAGGAGCCCTGTAGAGAGATCAGCCCACCCACCTTGTACTGGGAAACATCCTGCATCCTGTCACCATATTGGTCAGTTTCTTTTCACAGGTGAGAGCAATTTAAATCCACACACCACCACCCCCAATCACTACCACCAGATGGTGGGATGGGATGGAGCTCTGCAGAAAGATCAGCCAACCCCTCTTGGCCTGAGGAACGCCCCCACCAAATCCCGCCTCCTGCCCTCGGTTATGTTTCCTTTCACAGGTGAGAGAGTGATTTAAGCACCCCCTATTCACCTCACAGGGCAAGGGTGGGGCCTGCAGTGAGATCAGCCCGGAGTTTTTGAAAGGAGCAATAAAATTGTCAAACCACGGGCAAACTTAACAAAAGGGGGGAAAAAAATGAAGACACAGATAACTCAATTAAGAAATTATAGAGGTGACATCACAACAGAACCAGATGAAATGAAATTGAAAATATCAGAATACTATGAAATGCCATAATTTGATAAATTAGAAAACCCAGAGAAAAGGGACCAATTCCTTGATATGTATGCACTACCCAGATTGACCCCTACTGCTTAAGAATAATTGAACAGACCCATCACAAAAGAAGAAATAGAACAGGCCATAAAAAGACTTCCCCATAATAAGAGACCTGGAACAGATGGATGCACAGCTGAGTTCTACCAACCATTCAGAGTGGATCTATCACACCAATACTTAAAAGTATTTAAAAAAACAGAAGAAGAAAAAACACTTTCAGAGTCATTTTATGGAGCAAGCATAACCTAACAAACGCAAGCAAAGATATTACCAAGGAAGAAAACTACAGACCAATATCTCTCATGAATATAGATGCAAAATATCATTAACAAAATACTAGCCAACAGAATCCAAAAGCGCATCAAAAAAATAATTCATCATGACCAAGTGGGATTCATAACAGGTTCAACATAAGAAAAACTATGCCATTCACCTTATTAACAAAGCAAATAACAAGAATCATATGATCTTAGCAATTGATACAGAATAGGCATTAACACCCTTCCTGATAAAGACACTTAGCAAAACTGGAATAAAAGGGTATTTCCTCAACATAGTGAAAAGTGTATAAGCAAAACCAAGAGCCAATATCATTCTCAATGGAGGAAAAAAATAAAGGCATTTTCCTTGCAAACAGGGATCAGACAAGGATGCCCACTGTTACCACTTCTATTCAATATTGTATTATAAGTGCTTGCCAGGGCAATCAATTCAAGAAAAGGAACTAAAAGGCATCCAGAACAGCAAAGAGATGGTTAAACTATCACTGAATGCAGATGATGTGATAGTGTACACAGAAAACCCCAAGAACTCAACAAAAAACCTGTTAGAGCTAGTAGACCAATTTTGTAGAGTGACAGAATAGAAGATCAATATCCAAAAATCAGTGAGATTCCTCTAAAGTAACAAAGGGAACTCAGAGAAGGAAACCAAGAAATCAATACCATTTACAATAGCCAATCACAAAATGAGTACTTGGGAGTGAACCTAACTAGACACAAAAGACCTGTATAAAAAAAACAAACTACGGAACATTTCTTCAAGAAATAACAAAAGACCTAAAGAAATAGTCAAATGTGCCCTGACATATGACTCAATATTGTGAAAATGAAAAGTCTATCAAAGGCAATCTACATGGTCGACACAATTCCGATCCAGATACCAAATTTTCAGATACCAAATTAATTTTTCAAGGCAATAAAGAGGGAAATTGTCAAGTCTATCTGGAGAGGAAAGAGACCCTGAATAAGCAATGCTCTTCTGAAAAACAAAAATGAAGTGGGAGGCATAGCAATCCCTGACCTCAAAATCTACTACACAGTGGTAGTACCAAAACAGCATGGTACTGGTACAATGACAGGCATATAGACCAATGGAACAGAATTGAGAACCCAGGAATAGAGTCAGCTATCTATGGTCAGCTGATATTTAACAAGGAAACAAAACCTATCAAATGAGGAAATGACCACCTCTTCCCAGAAAGGTGCTAGCAAAACTGTACTGCTACCTACAGAAAGCTAAAACAGAATCCACATCTCAGACAATATAAAAATCAATTCAAGGTGGATTAGAGACCTGGGAATGAAGCCCAAAACCATACAGTTCATCAGACAAACTGGGATCAAGCTTATTCTATGGTACAATGCTGAATAAAGCCAGAAATGCACAATCTGGAGACAATAAAATTGATGAATGGATCCTTTTAAAGATTAAATCCCTGTGTGCAACAAAAACTTTTCCCAACAGAGTGGAAAAAACCCTACTGATTGGGAAAAAACATTTGGCAATAGTATCTCAGACAAAGATCTCATATTAATAAGTTTACAGAATCCTACATGGCCTCCACAAGAAAAAGACTGATGGCAAAATTACAAAATGGGCAAAAGACACATAGAAAGAATTTTCACAGAGGAAGATATTCAGATAGCAAATAGACACATGAAGAAATGCTACAAATCACTGGCAATAAGAGTGATGCAAATCAAAACCACAATGAGATACCATCTCACTCCAGTAGCAGTGGCAAAGTTTAACAGGACAGTAAATAATACATAGTAATACATGTTGGATAGGATGTGGCAAGATAGGAACTCTTCTACACTGTTGGTGGGATTGTAAAATGATACAACCGTCCTGAATGGCAGTTTGGAGTTTCCTCAGAAAGATGAACACAGAAATTCCATGTGACTCGCTATTCCAATGCTTGGAATGTTGTTGTTATTGTTGTTAAGTGCCATCATAGACGACTCATAGTGATCCTATGAACGAAAAACTTAAACACTTGTATAATTTTCATCATTTCTCCAAGTTCATAGAGTTTCCAGAGGCAAGCTATTTCAGAAGTGGATGTCACTCCTACTTCCAAACTTGTTTTAATAGAGGAGCTCCACCAAACACTGTCCCCCATGGGTAACGATTATCACATTTGCACATCAGTGTCACAGTGTTTAGCACCATAGCCACCACGAGTTACCTCTGTGCAGCAAATGGTCACCCAGTGCTATAACACTTAGAAGAATGTTTGACCAAAAACAATTAAAACCAGGCATCAACTCACACCCAATGGTGACTAAACATTCCACCTTAATCCTAACCAGAACCAGCAAACAAACCTCTGTCAAATCTGGCTAATCCAGATGACTTCCAGCCTGGATTCCAGCCCCATACTGCTGACAAAATGCATTTTTAAATAAGAGGCCAGAATAAGATTAACTCACAGCCAATGGTGAGTAAATATTCCACCCTAATCCTCACCAGAATCAGTAAACAAACCTCTGTAGAATCCGGCTCATCCAGACAACTTACTATGGAAAAAAAATGAGAACTGAGGCACATACAGAGACTTATACACCAATGTTCACACCATCGTGAGACCATGAAAACAGCCCAAATGTCCAACCACAATTGAATGGATTGAGAAATTATGATACATTTACAACACATAGAAGCTATAATTTGGTAAATCACTACCTAACTTGAGAGAGACTGAAGAGTATTATGATAAGTGACTAATTCAGTCCCCTAAGGACAAATACTATATATATATAT